CCCCGTCCAGCACCCCATATTTGTCTACTATTACCCCTCTCCAAAACGCTTGTTCCTCCACCCCGAATCTCCATAGCCATTTAACCAACAAAGCAAGAAGGTTTTTTAACATTTACATAAACAAAGATGTACAAATAAATAAATAAATAAATAAGAAAGCAAGAAGATTCCAACAAAAACCTAGGTCGCAAAAAGAAGCTATGGAGATAAGAAGGACAATAATAAATAAGTAAAAAAGAAAGCAACTGACCTCAGATTGAAGGTTTTAACCTAGGTCGCAAAGGAGATAAAAAATGGCGGATTGTTTGGAGAAAAAAATTTGGACCATTTCTCGATTTGTGCGTGTCATCCTTGCGCAGGGGCCATGCTAATCTTCTCTGTATCGTTCCAATTTTATCGGATGTCCCCGAAGGGACAAACTCACTTATTCTGCTTCCGCTATATGAATTGCAAAGACTTTTAGCGTTTGGTCGGTGTGGGACTAGCTGGTTTGGTTGGAAACTTGGAATAGAACCAGAAAATGGACTATTTTACGAAATGGGCTGCTTCTGGACTACACTACGATGAAAAGGAACTTGGGCCAGTAGGAAAAAGAAAGGGATCTTTACATAAATAGCCGACCATATTCATTGTTTACTTTTTCTAACCATATATATAAATTGTACATTGGTTATACACAAGTATACACATATATTATGCCTCCAATGGATTTTTTAGTTTAAGCAATTGGGTGGGCAAACTTTGTAACTTCCAAATTACAATTTTATCCTTGGCCAGGCAGACATGTTGACCATGAGCTCCATGGTTATCCTCATTTATAGTATAGGAATAGATTTGTCTAGAATCCATAGTATGTGGTTAATAAATTTTCCAAATAAGATAATACAAAAGTGATTGAAAAATGATAGATTCTTAAGCTCTCAAAAACTTGCATGTTTCTTGTCGTCCTCCACATAACCATGTAATCCTCAATAATATTCGAGCAAGGATTGTTATCATTAGTCAACATAGTAACGATATCTTTGCAATCTCTATTGACAATAGATTTTTCTTTATAATTAAGTCTAACCCTTACTAAATAGCTAGAATTTTTGCATATATGTTTTGTAGAGTAAGGAATGTATCTAATTCCCTTTCTTTTTTCACTTTTTTTTTAATCAAATCCACTATATGATGGTGGAGTTTAGGCTGATCTCAACCTGTTTATTTCATTCGGCAAAAATATAAAAAGTTAGGTACTATGTCCAAACCACTTTCTGTTTACATGTACGATGTATTGTTCATCTTTATACAAAAATTGCCTACTATCAACTTTACAGTTGCTAGAATAAAGTTAGAGAGGAAGACTCCTCCATTACAATTTGAGAAAAAACGAAGCTGGCATAAAAAGTGCAAAATATTCAGAAAACGTTGGCCAAGGAAAATCATTTTCTGGATCAAGTACTAGATTAGTGATTTCGCGATAGTTGACTATTAAAGGTTGACAACAAGTTGTAAGTGTTAATTCAAGTAGACATTTCGGGAGCTTAACATGGTGGCGGATAGATTGGCTCGGTATGCCATCGACGCAAGTCTTAATACTATTGGGGTGTACAAAGAAAATCGATAAACCGAATCAAATCGATAATCTGAATTAAACTGGAAAAAAAAAATGATGTGGTTTGGTATTGGAAAATAAAATCCGACCATAATTGGTTTGATTTAGTTTTAACTAAAAAAAGTCAAACTGAAACCAAACCAAACCAAACCAATCCGATAGTACATTTATATAATTTTTAAAAATATTTTATACATATAATATTTATTATAGTGTAATTTATAAATATTTCTTACACTTTTTTATAATTTTATCTTTTAACGTATTATTTCAAGTTTAGACTTAACATTCTTGAATGGTAAATAAATTTTATACCCGATAAATGTAGTTACTCAAACAAAGTTCAAATCAATACTAATGCTAACAAAAGAAATTCAATTCAATACTAGGAATGATGATATTGTTGGATAATTATTTTAGCTTTACATTGGTTTATAATGAAAATGCATAACTTAGTTTATCTTTTTCTTTAGTGCTTAGTTATGTAATTAATATTAGTACTTATTAGCTATACTTATTTTAGCATGACCTATATAGTATTTTTAGATTATGTTAATTTTCATTATGACTTATTAATTAGCAATATTGTTTTTGTGTATTTTATTATTTTATATTTGTTATTGAATATTTTAGTATAATGCTATGACTTATCTCATATTATTGTGTTAGTTATTTGGAAAACACATTATATAGTTGTATTTTACTAGGACTTAAAAAATATTTGGAGCACAAGTTATATATTTTATGCTATGAAGACTTTACCAGAAAAAAAAACCCGAAAACCCGAAAAAAACGGAGATTGAAAAACCCGACTTTGTTGGTTTGATTTGATTTATAAATTTAAAAATCCGACACCATTGATTTGGTTTGATAATTGAAAAATCCAAACCAACCCGACATGTACACCCCAAAATACTACCATTTTTTTTTTTAAAGTGTCGTGGAGTTAAAAAGAGAAATTCAAACAGGACAGGATTTGAATAGTTTGTTAACAAATAAATTTGTTCGAGGTAAATCCCCAGCAATTCTATTCTTTAACAATCTTTTTTGTAGTAACAATATAGATCTTTACTTCTTATAGGGGACTAATAATTCTGTTTTCATTAGGTAATTTCCCTTTTTAAAAGAGTGTTCTAATAACAAAACACAGCCAGTTTTACCTTATCAAAAATTACACAAAAGCCGAGCCAGTTTTCAAATGCCAAAATTAAGGTAAGTTACGCAAAAGGACATAATGCTCAAAATTATTTGATACTGCAAATCACTGAAACTCTATGAACATTCCATGTCTATTATCAGATCATCGTTGTTAAGTAAAAAACCTACTCTTGCACCGCTCTTCTAGCAGCATCTTCTTCTGCTTTCATCTTCCTCTCCCATTTTCTCTTCCTATAATCAGCTAACATTTCCGGCATTTTCTGCATCAGTTCAGCCGTCTTCTCCCGCTTTTCTGCTGATATTCTGTCACACTTATGTCCTTTCTGCTTGGTTCTCATTTCCTTCCTCTCTGGATCATATGGCCAATCTTGTCCAGCAAGGAGAACTTCCTTGCGTAGGCGAGCTCGATGGCGAGCACTGATGCCTAGTGGTTTCCATGCCCCAAGTTCCCAGTAACCCCAAACTCCCTTGGAAAGCTCGTTTTTGTATTTTGCCAACTTCTCTTGCCATTGATATTGATTTTCTCCAACCGCTTTTGCTACTGATTTCATAGCTTTTCCAGCCATTGTTCCTGGGGGAAAATAAAATCTAAGTAACTTCTCTATAAGCATTCACATCGTCAAGTTTTAGGTAAGTAATATTTGAATGAATGTAAGACGGCATTCTGAATTGGCTTGCTTTACATTTTATCAGCCTCATATGAATAGCTTTACATATTGATTAATAACATTGGATATATCTAACTACATAACACTGGGATCAGAATCGATGTTTTTCAGACCACTGATCCCCGCCGCTGCAGTTGTGGTATTCCCCAGCAACCCACCACTTCGCTATCCACTGTGGTTAAGTGGCAACCTATTCCCCACTTCCCCACCACACGCGAAACACCTCCCCATCTTTTGCTAAACTCTTTCTTTCCATTTATTATTTTCCTCCAAGGTGGATTCTTACATTGTAGAATATTAGAGATATGTTTTGCATTACATACGAATGGTGAATAATAAACTTTGGTAACTGAGACACAAATCTTAATCCGGGTCTAAATTAAGCATGTTATGTTAATTCAACATACCAAACATCGGATAGTAACCCACCCATAATAACCCAAGCGGGTTGTTATATGTGATGAACCAAGCAACCCTTAAGCTTAAAGTTAAATGAGTGAAGAAAAAACATAGATAAATCTCTCACCACTTTTTGCATACAAATAATGCAGATGAATGCAACTATCCTTGGTATTACCAGAAAGTAAAAACACAATACAGCCGGAAGTAGCCACCTGATGAAATTTTATCGTAAAGAAACCATGAAGGTTTTATCATGATAGAATGATCCCTATTTTGATTTGATGACCAATCTATGGATAACAGCTACTTCCAATCTTTGTTGGCATATCCCTCCCTCCCTTTAAGAGGGTCAAATACCAAAACAAAATCAACTGATCAAGATTTAGAATTATTACTAGGAGCAAATTCTCTAGGCGTAACCGGTAAAGTTGTTGCCATGTGACCAAGAGGTCACGGGGTTCAAGCCGTGGAAACAGCCTCTTGTAGAAATACAGGGTAAAGCTGCGTACAATAGACCCTTGTGGTCAGGCCCTTCCTCGCACCCCGCGCATAGTGGGAACTTAGTGCACTGGGATGCCCTTTTTACTAGGAACAAATTCTCTGCAGCGCTCAAAGCAGCTTGCTCCATTGTGATTAAGAAGGCAGAGCCATTTAGGACACTCAACTCAAGCAAGTCAGGCACCTAAGTTGCTCGGACTCAGGTGCAAGTGTCCGATACAGGTGTGGATCTAGAAGTCGAATTTTTTATGATCTTGATCTAAAGATTCAGGGGTACCGATCCAGGTATGAATACAAATGCGAAAATTCGGGTAAAACTAATACAAATATCTAAAAATAGAATTAATAAAATATGCCTAAATTATGAGACATTATGTGAAAAACTTACATGGTGCTTGTGCAGAAAGTTTCTCTTTTATTCTCAATTTCACCCTAGCTTCTGTATTGATTTCATAAATCATTGTATTTGTCTCGAATTTCTCCATCGATTTTGGTCAAAGTATCCGAAATCAATTGATCAAATCCGGTATGAATCTCATACTCACGCCCACGTCGTGTCGACGTGGGTGTGGCATCGAAAGTAAAGAGTCCGAACAACTTAGCCAGGCACATCTGTTGGGTTTAAACATCTGTTGGTTAAACCCAGTATAGATCAGTTGTTCAGCAGCANCCCCAAGAAAAAGAGAGCGGGAAAATTATCCCTTTCTTATGCCGAACTTGAAGTTCTTAAAATTAGTTGCAAGATTGTATGCATTGTGCAACTTCTTCTTTTTTATTGTTCTCTTGTCATGTTGGTCCCAAAATCAAGTCTAGAGAAGAAAGGCGCACTGTTGTATGAACTGAAAATGGGATGTACCTGTGTATAACTCCAACCTATGTTGCCGATATCCTCCAAATATTTTCTAGCGCCCATGTCGATCCCCTATGGTTTGGATGTAACTGTGGAATCTGCAGTGGATTTGGTTCTACACCTATGGCCAAGAAGTATAAGTCCATTGAGTATTTGGTTTGATTTTGGTTCTATATCATACATATATTCACATAAAGTATTAGAACACTTTTTGTTATACGATAACTAATGAATAAAATATTCTGTTTACAAAAAATTTAATTATACCAGCTTTAATTTAATAACTTTGATTAGTCGTTGAAGTATATACTTATATATTTATTGGTTGTATCATAACACCTGTACCCATAGTCCTACCTATATCCATGAATCCTAAGATTTAGGTGATGACGAATCTGACGTCTAAATTCTGTATCTGAGCAACAGACTCCGATGCCCCTCACGGCCTCACCATACAAAAAAATCAGCAAAATTGTAAGACACCTCTCTGATAAAGCTTGATCGCTATCTAATAATTTATTGGTAAACAAAATAGCAGTTATTGATATTAGAGGTATTAAGTATCTAGTTCCCTAATATATTAACCTTGAGAGGTATTAAGTATCTAGTTCCCTAATATATTTAGACTTGAGGGACACCCAAAACAATGGCATTTCTAAACAAAGAAATCTTACAATACGCCAATTAAGCTTATCCTATATAAGCAAATAACATATACTTCACTTGGTAGGAGCAGAATTAAAGTTTTCCAGAAAGTAAAAAAAATAATTTTAACTTGCAAAATTCTTCCTTTCTAATTCAATTGTAGAAAATGAACAAATTGAGGATGTCAATGTACCTTATAACACAAATACAAATCAAGTTGAATCTACAACTAAGAGCAGAATACTAATTGGATAAAACACAGCATTTAGTTATGACATTCTCAAAATAGAAGCAAGAAAAGCGTGAAATTTAGATCGTTAATTGTTATCAAAATCTCAAATGTCTCAGCTGCGAGAAGAAATGAGGTGTCCATTCTCTTCCAATAGCAAGATTAATTAAGTTAAGAGGAAGAGATAGAGAGAGAGACGGCGGAAAGTGACTCACCGGAGAATTGCCGGAGCTGGACGGTGTTGGTTAATGGAAAAACGGCGTCGCCGGCGATTGGTATGGGCCGTAGGGTTTCGGTATGCTGCGACTTGCGAGCGTACGCCTTATTAATGAAAACAAAATTATAAAAGTATATAAATAGTATTCGAGAAATATTTTAGTTTTAGAATAAAATTAGAAAAACTTACAAAGTTATGAAAATGTTAATATATCCCTTTAACTAACTCGATAAAGAAGGGAAAAAATTACTCCACAAAATTATTCAGCTTTTGTGGGTGGTAAATCGTATTAATGTTAGGATGAAAATAAACATTAAGTTCTCGTAATTTATCCAATAATTTATCTATATCTTTATCATTCAATATGTATGAATCAATTTGCTCCTAAACTTACATATAGAAGATATAATGAACAATTGAAAAATTGGGACAAATACAGCTTCATACCGAAAGGTCATATTTTGCTCTCTTTTAGTAATCATGTCATATCGAAACAAAACACTCAATAATACTTATAAAATCAAAATATAAAATAGTTANATATATATATATTAAATAGAAAATTATTATTATTATTACTTGAAAAATAGTATAATTAATCAAAATGAACCAATAAAATTTTAGTATAATCAATCCAAACGTACATATGGTACTGCAAAATACAAATATTTTTTCTTTTGTCACGCTAGCACCTACTTGGTCATTGTCCTTATGATTGTTTTATAATATTTCCATTATAAAACCTTGTATGGCAACCTTTTTAAAAAAATATATTTAACGGACTATTTTATAGAATTATCTTATGTTGTAAAACTATTAATAGTAAATGTGGATGTTCACTACTCCCACTAATTTCACCTATAATGTAAATAATCTCCCACTACTTATCACTAGAGGTGGCAATTTGAGCACAAACTCATCCAACTCGTCCAACCCTCCCAGAGATTAATGGAGTGAGCTACAAACATTTTAGCTCATGAGTCTATTTGGGCTAAGCCCAAGTTATCCCATCATTTTATAGTCTATTCTGATCCATGAAGTAGCACAAATACAACCCATAAAACTCACCCAAAACCCAACTGAAGGCTTGTCTGAAAATTTACTTAGTTGCCCCATCATTAGTTGTTGTATCTAAGTTTAAAAATGAGAATCAAGGTGTTAAGTTTTAATGTAAATATGAATAATTTTGTATTTGAGTTGTGAAATTTACTTATTTAGAAATAACATAAAATATATTTTTGAACTTACAAATTTTAAATACTAATTTGTTATTTAAGAAAATATATTTTTGATTCTCAAAATACTAATAGTATTTTTTTTTTTTGGAAAGGAGGAAGTACTTCTTAAGTGGAAAATAGGGCTTCTTGTGTCACATTGTAAAGAACAAATAATAACTACATAAATAGATATAAATCAAAGTTTGTACAAAAAATTATCTGAGTTGTTTTTTTCCTAAAAGATTTAATTAACGAAGTTTTCGGAAAATTTTGTGTGGCCGGAAGGCTCTTTTCTAAATGAATTATTTATGGAACAATTCCAACATCGAGGAAAAAAAACTTCAACTAGTCAAACCTTTATCTTGCACAAAAGATTTCTTCAAAAGATTTTCTGAAACATTATCTTTTTTTTCAACCGCTATTTTCTTTGCTTTTTTCTTCTTTCTATACACTTTTAAATATTTATTTAGTTTTAGAAAGTCATAAAAGCTCATGAATAGTCGAGTAGAAGATTAATCCATATGTGTTTCTTAGCTAAAAATTTAAAATTAAATATATAGCAATTCATCGTCAGTGCATGGAATGAATAATGAAGAAGCTAAGAAAGAAAGGAACATACATAGGTGTATAAAATGTAAAAGGCTTTGTTTATGCAAGATAAGCATGGTTCTAAAACATGAGTCAAGTTGGGCGGGTTGGGCTATGACCCACTGTTTAGCCCATCTTGACCCAACCCATCTTAACCCAAGTACACTTTGGGCTGGGATGGGCAATGACCCATTTATTGACCTAAACCATCTTAACCCAATCAAATTAAGCCCAACCCGTCCATTTTCCACCTTACTCATCACTATTATAATTGTAACTCTCACACCTCCATAACCCCTCCCAATGATCTTTCCCCATGATCTCAATTATTATTGCCATGTTTAAGACAATCATGTTTACCCGAAAAACGGATAGAGTTGAATTTGTACGGAGTTCTAAGGATATGTGATATCGCTTAATACAAATCGTAAGGATAAATAGAAATATCAAATATGGATTGCTAAGAATGCAAAATAAACAAGGTTGGAAAGAAGATGATTTTTAGGACTAAGCAAGATGAATCAATTAATGAATCCTAAAAGAATAATCCTTGAATATAGGAGAATATTGTGCTTGAATTACACTGTAAGCAAAAAATTATCCTTTACAAAAATATAGTCATCCTTTTTATAGTTAAAAATATATAGTGGGAGACCCATGATAAATCAGCTTTTTTATGATTCCTGCCAAGATTCTCTCCTCTAGTGGGATTGTAACGGCTCTTGTCTGTGAGCTCGATATTAACTCGAGCTCGATTCTGACTCGGGGTCAGTGTTGGTCGGTCTCTGAATCATAAGCTCGATAACTTTACTTTGCATCATAGTTCGATTTGGATTCGAGCTTGATAATAACATCGAACTCGACATTATCGATCCTTCGGGCTCAAAGCTTGATGACCCGACTTCGGACCTCAACCTGATACTATAAAGACACTTCTCCGATCCGATATATTACCATTCAAACCAGTCCGTACGAAAGACTAACCGGTTTTTACCGTATACAGATAGTCCCCTTGTTTCTCGAGAAGGGTGTAGCGAGAAACGACATGATTTCACAATGTCTCGATCAGATATAAGCTGACATTTGCATTGAGCCCGACCATGACGTATATGATATCTGTCAGTCGGTTTAGCTTCCCAAGGCATTTAATGCGTGTCAGAAGGTGGTCGGCCACTGCTGATATTGAACCGTCATTGCTTCAATCTATAAATAGCCCTTCCTTTCACCATTTATCACTTTTATGTCTTTAATCTTCCAAATTTTCTAAGTTTCTTCTGAGTTCATTCGTAGATCTGTGATTCTTTTCTGCAAAATTCTTCTTAAAAACCACAAAATCTTTATCACCTTCTTCAAATCAAAAAATGGTGAAGATATCAAAAACAGTCCCCCAAGAAGAAAAAACTTCTTCTTCCCAATCCGCCGCCGACAAAGCACCGGTGGATCCACGGCCTGAGGAGTGCGTTTCGGCGGCGTGTGTTCTTACCTTCGATTTCAAACTCGATAAAGGTTCGATGGTTTCCGGCCGATGTGAGCCCGTATCGAGATATATTTGTTCGATAACCGGGGGATATATCGAGCAGATAAAAAAAAGATTGTAACTGGGGGAACAAAGAAGTGGTAGTACCGTCTCCCGAAGAGGATATTACTACTCACGTGAAAGGGTTTTTAAGTGTGTACACTTACCCTTTCACGTTAGGTCCCCTCGACCCTGTTATCATAGATTTTTATCGTAAATACTTAATAACCCTAGGCCAGATTCACCCTTCTTTTCGGATCGTTATTTTGATCCGATACTTCATGAACAAAATCGAGGTGATGCCTTTCACCCTTGATTATCTCATCTGATTGTACCACCCTCGCCTTTTTCGAGGAGTATTAATTAAACTTCAGCGTCGAGCTACCAAGGCTTTGTTCTTGAGCATAGACGAGGATAGGGATCGAGGCTGGATGGGCAGGTTCATCCAAGTAAGGACTTCGAACTTGATTCCGATTGAAAAGATGCCTTTTCCCGAGGAGTGGAACATGGAGCGTAAGTGTAATTTTGTTGTTATCTCCAACTATTTTGCTCTTTCATTTCTTTTCTCACCGATATCCCCTTTTTTGTGATGCAGCGGTTCCCTGGATGTCCGGCGCAGTTTCTGATCTCAAGAACTGGGTACGGGATCTGGCTTCGACCTTCACATATGTCGAGTGCTCATGGCGTGATTTGTCAAAGGGCCTATAGGAGGCCAAAAATCATGGTAAGCCCCTTTCTCATATTTTTTGGTAGCTCGAACGGGACGCTTTCCTTTTACTTCAATAAATTTTCCCGTATGTAGGTGTGGGCAAGGATGCGATTTTGAGGCCCTCATCCATCGAGGAGGAGGCTTTGACATCCGTTCCAAAGCCAGTGAAGGATAATAAGATGAAATGGGCCTCCATTCCCGAAGATCCATAACCAAAGAAGAGGACGGCTCGTAAGCCGAAGAAGAATACAATTCCCTTGACCATAGAATCAGTTCTGCATCTAAGGGATGAAGACAAAGAATAAGAAGAAGAAAAAGAAGAAGAAGAAGAAGAAGAAGAAAACGACGGGTCTGCGCTGACGGCCCGAACGAAGAAGACCACCGATGTTCTACATGCAGCTGGATCGATGGTGGTTTATAAGGCTACGCCTCGAACTGAGGATATAGAGTGCAACAAGCTTTGAATCAGGTAAGCCTTAAATTATTTTGTTGGCATTACCTTTATGTCTCCTTTTCTTTTCTAACTTCGCTTCTTCTTTCTTTGTAGGCCGTGACAGTTCATCGAGAACCATGTTCTCGGTCCCGAACCGAGCTGCGTCGATATGAGGCCGACCTTCAATGGGTTACGGAGCCGATGTTGAAGCCTTGGCTTCCTATGATGACAATGATGATAATGATGATGAAGGTCGATATAAGGCCGACCTCGAACTGAGTTGGCCAAGGCTCACCAAGATCAGACCGATCTGTCCGAGCAGGTAATGATACTTTTAAAAGCCTATGGGCTCGATACCGGAACGATGGCTAATTTTTTGATTTCGCAACTGTAGCAGAAAATTGAGATGATCGGGAAACTCTGTGAGGAGGTCGATGTGATAAAAGCGGAGTCTTTGAAGTGGAAAGAAGGTATGGACTGCTTTGCTGCAGAGAAAGAAGCTGCTCGAGCCCAATTATCGTCAGCCGAAAACCAACTTCAAAGTATGAAGGAGAAAAGCTTGGTTCAAGCAAGAAGAATAGAGGAGCTCGAGGCTCGGTTGGCCTCTGAACTTGCCAAGGCCGAATCTAACGCCTTTTACGGATGCACTCGT